ACCTTAAAAAAAAAAACCTGCCTCTTCCACATTGCATGCCAGGAAAAACTAGGGTGTGGAAAGATAGATGGTAAAAAGTGTGGATTTTGAAGCTTTTGAGATTCTTCTACTCGATGGCAAAATTTGACAGTGGTTTTAGGAAAACATAGATACAAGAGTACTCATGTTATTCAGCTGCACTGCTTGAATTACATAGTCAAACAACTAATGTTGGCAAAGCAGAAGTGACAGTGCTGATCAGATGCTGTAGCTGTATGTTTTACTCCTTGCTTTTTTTTTTTGTAAGTCTTAGCTTGATTACAGACCTAGTGTCTATCATTATGTGCCCAGAACTTCTTTAGGTGATCTATGATTAGTTAATTTAAATGTCTACTACCAGGGAAAACTAATCTGATTCTGCACTTGGCAAGATCAACTTGGTTTGAGTTAAACAGCGCTTGTTTTAGCCTCCACATCAGGAGAAATTGTTAGCAGTGCTTGAAGCACGCGGGTACTCAGCAGTGTGCTTCCTACCTGGCTTTATGATAGAAGGCTGTCGCTTGTGCCTCACATGCTGGGGAAGTAGGATGGTATGGAGCGTGTGTGCTGTACCTGGAGCTGAAGAACTGGTCATGCTTAGTGATAACAGAAATTCTGGATAAGCATTTGCTGGTAGTAGCCCACAGTTACTGGGGGGGAAAAGTATGGAAAGAAGCAGTGAGTGCGCTAGATTGTGCAATCAGCCTTCCAAAGGGAACTACGCTTGAAGTTACCTGTAGAAGGATTTGGGCTGCTGGCTGTGAAAAGAGAGTATGTTCAGCGTCCTCAGCCTCAGACAGCTCTGCTGTGCTTTCTGCTTTGAATTATAGGGATCCAGAAGGAAAGAGAGCATGTTGTAGATTTGTTGTGCTCCACCATATGGAAAAAGTCGTTTCCTGCTTGATGGAACTACAGCTAGACAGTCCATCTGAAATTTGGCAGGTCTTTCTTTCCCCCTTGTTTCCCCTAAAGGCAGCTGCGCTACAAATCATGTTGTACTTAGCCTTGGTGTAACCATTAACCAAAGAAACCATGGTTCATCAAAACACTTGATATAGAGCATTTAGTTTTAGAAGCATCTGCCTCAACTGACTCAGCTTCCAGGCTGAAGTTAATAAAAATTATATTTTTGAAAAAAAGAAGCGGGGGGAGCTCAACTCATCTTGGCACCCTCCAGTTCCCTTTTAGTTCTTCCAATTGCACTGTTGAGCCTCAGAGCTTTTCCTGGCTCCTCATCTGAAAGCTGCCTTCCCCCACCCACCTCCTTTTCTGGCATTTAACCTGACTCTTGGACATTTTCCCTGGCTTGCTAATTGCTCCTTCTTGTACTACTGTTACAGAGCCACTGGGGCCGGTCTCTTGCCATTTCGGTTCAGCTTTCCAGGCTCAAAGATGCCTTGTCTACAGAGCTTTATTATCAGGCTGTCTCCTATCTGACAGATTCCTCAACTGCACGTCTGCCTTGACAGAGCTAGGGAACGCCAAGTTGTTCCTGCCTGGCACCTCTCTTCCCTTTTGTTTCTCTTGCTTCACTGGCAGACACAAAGGGAAGGAATTTCTGCTGTATCTTTCTAATTCCTCTATTTCTAAGAATGCTGCAAAAACTCTGGACTGTATATTCACACACTTTGATACACCCTTGTGCTGCGCTGTAATTTCAGCTGTGCTAGCTGTGAAGGAAAATAAAACATCTATGTTTTCTTTTTAATCCTTTTAATTAAAGTGAAGATATTTCCTTCTAAACAAGGTGTATCAGTATACCTCTAAATTCACAATCTTCCCTCTGCAGCTCTTGTAATGTATCCAAGCTATGTCTTATGCAGGTAGGGAAATAACTTCCTGCATGATCACAACACCTTAAAAATAATTAATTTGAAATAACACATACTTCAATGCAAACTATCATTTGTTTTCACAGCAGTACTGCAAGAAAAACCCATATGTAAGAATAAGGACTTAGCAGTGACTTTTCGACCGGACATACTTGGTCATTATAAAATTTGCCCTATGTTAGTTCACCAGCATATTTTGGCTGAGTTCCAGAATTGGAGGAATAGTTTTACGAGCTCTCTTATCTTACCAGAGCCAACATACTGCAGCAAGTTTTGTTTTGTGGGATAGAGGCAAATGTTTCTAGCAGGAGGCATTTTATATAAAGAATCTAATTCTCATCTTCTGTGATTTCATTAACTTACTATTTATTACCTTCTGCTTTTGGTAGAAACAAATGAAATGCTTCTCCTGTACAGATTTATGTAAGTAGTCACCTGTGTACAAGAAGATACTTCTACATACCAGTTGGTTACATATCCAGCTGACAGTTCTGTTGTCTTTTATGAAGCAACTGATACTACAGCTCTTTTTCCCTTCTTTTCTTCCATCCCAAAAGATTACAACAGTACTTTTAGGCAGTGCTGAGTAAAGCCAAAAGTGAGAGAGCCCAGCCAGGCACGTTGGATCACTCCCTCTTCAGTGTTTTTGCGTGACCTTGCTGTAGTGCCCAGAGCCGGGACTTAAATTCTCCACTTCCGTGTTACCATCAGTGATCTTAGGCTAATAAAAACTATCTAGCATGTTTTGTATTGGTTAATCCATCATCTAGGATTTCCCAAAGGAGCTGGCATGTAAGGAAGGTTCTCTCCATCTGTTTTTAATGCCAGATCCCTTTGAGGCTTAGGTAACGGTTTGCTAATGCTCGCGCTTCTGCAGTCTTCGTAACGGCTGCATGTGCCACCATCACCTGCCATTTGCTCAGAGGGCAGTTAGACTGTCCATGGCTGCTGTAGTTCATCTTAGTGTAGGGTATCATGAGCCAAGAAGGTGGAGTAGGCAGTATACCGAAAATCACCAACGGATAACGCAGCCGTTGCAGTGTGCTGGTCTGGCCATGTTCTCGCTGGCTGCTCCAGAAGCTCCGCGTTTCCAGTGAGAGGAGCGTTGCTCACCTGCGGTCTCACCTAACGCTAAGATCTGTAGTCATCTAGCTGTGCTTGCATAAACATCAAAGTTGATCACTTTCCCCTCATGTACTGTGGGAGACTTGGAAGAAGGCAAAATGGGCATGAATACTGAAAATGTGGATTTCAGGCAGGCACTCCTATCATTTCAGTCATGCTTCTATGCATGAGACCGCTGTCAAAAGTACAGAGGATGTATTATTGGTCTTGTGTCTCTGGGCAGTTGTGTCCCTCTTCCTTCTTTCACCCTTTCTCATACAGCAAGCTAACAGCAGATTGGTTCTTAAATGTTAAACCCAGGACTAAATTTCTGAAGCATGAGCATCTGTAATGCTTTCAAAGCATTTTTCAGTATGTTATCTGTGCTGGAAGGTTGTGACAAAAATGCCGTCCAGATTTGTTTCATGATTTATCTGTGCTGGAAGGTTGTGACAAAAACAGATAAGCCTTTTGTGGCCCCTAATGCCGTCCAGATTTGTTTCATGATCCAGTTGTTTTGCAGGCCTACAATGTCTGCAGCACCACACATGGTTCTCTGCAAATCTCCTGAGTTAACCGAGTGCTGCTATTCCTCCTGTTTGGTTATCTCATCCTCATTGTAGCATTGGCAGTTGCTAAGTTAATAGTTGAAGCTATGTAAACAGAGAATAGTGAATGCAGGTCCTAGAGAAGACAGGTTCCACGGCTCCAGAGCTGAACAAGATCCGTACTTGACACTGAGCAAAAAGCAACACAAATAAGTGAGGGTATTTTAAGAATCTGCAAAGTTTTATGAAAGACATGCAGAGATGGTAGATGAGGAGAATGCTATCTTGGAGACATGTGGTTGTATGCAGGGGTGAGAAATGTGAAGAGAGGGGTGGTCATGGTAATTTGGGGGGTTCCTATGTCATAGTCTGTATAACACATAGTCTAGTTCTGTACTTACTTCAGATGTAGGAGTGTGAAACAAACACTCCAGGTTTTATCCTGTCTTCTCCTTCCCTGTGCACGATCACTTTGGGCTTTTGTCCTTCCCGCCCTCACTTTGGCTCCCCTGATTTATGGTGATGGCAAGAGCAGTGTCATACCTCTCTGCCAGCGTGAACACCATTTATACAAACAGGTTTTATCCATGAACAGAATTGAAAATGCAGTCACTTTGTTGCAAGCCATGAACAAACATGTCACCTTTTTTAGCCTCTTCATTTTAGATGTTAGTTGCATGCATCTCTGGAGGGCATACTGTGTATAAAGATTATTAAAATTTCTCAAATGGGCATTACTTGCAGAAAAATAGCTTCTTTAAAAGTTGTAAAGGAATTTTCTATTACTGGTACTGGCTCTCCATTAGCAATAAAGATGAAATACAGTAACCATTTAAAAATAAAAAAATATTAAAAAAAAAAAGACAGCAAAAATATGTGTACATCTGTCAATAAGCTCCTGACTGTTCTTCTGGAGCTGCTGATCAGTTGTGAAATTTGGCTGTGCGTTCGCAGAATGGTACTACTTGGGTTCGGATTGCGATTTTTCTCTTCACGTTATTTTGTTCTTTAAACAGCACAGCACACTTGTTTCGGACCAATGATTGAAGCGCATCATGATGCACTCGTCAGCTCCAGCTGTGACTTGGACAGATGTGCAGCTGCCATCTGTGACTGCCCAGTCCCACACAGACCCCAGCATGGGCAGGGGAGGAACTAGGACTTTGTTTCCCGAAGGACCCCATTCTAGTTAATTCTATCCCTCTGTGTGGCAGAAAACTGGAAATAAAACATATTTCAAAACTATTTGTAGAGAAATTCTTCAGGAGGTTTACATCGCATTGAACCTTCATGTATTTTATAGGTTAAAGTACAGTAAAAATTGGTAATATTTGTGCCAGAGAACTTGTTTTCTGCCAGTCCTACATACATTACTGAATACACTTTAAGTAGTACTATTGCTTGTTAGCTAGTTCTGTGGTGGTGGTTGTTATGCTGTCAAGTGGAACATAATTTAATCTGTATATAATGATCCTGAACAAACTGGGCTGCTTTTCTGATTTTTAAAATTATTCTTCAATTTTGTTTCAGGACATAACTTGGCAAGATGAACACTCAGCTCCTTTCTCTTGGGAAACAAAGGTAAATATGCAGCAGTTCTATTTTTAATGTTGGTTTGTCATTTGGTCCTGTTCCTTGTACTTTTATCTTACCTTCATTTTGGGATTTGATACACCATTGTCACCTTTATTCTATGAGAGCCTTGTAAAGTGACCCATACCACAAGTGAAGTTTGGCTGGTATGCTTCAATTTATATCAACAGAAACATAAAAGGTACTTTATGAACCAGTGCTCTGACACTCTGACCAGTGCTTGTACGGATGTAAAACTGGTTTGCTCTAAACCAAATGCCTTTCCCTGTAAGATTTCTAAACAGTTTTCTGTGTTTAGTGAGGAAATAAAGGTTAATCTTGAAAATACATATCTGGTTAAGTATAAGCATAATTGAATTTCACTTCTGAAGTCAACATGAAGTAGTTAGGAGAGGGAGTGAGAAAGGTACAGATGTCTAGCAGCTCCCTTGGATTTTTTTAAAAGCCTATCTTATGCTTCATCATCTTGTTATGTATTAGATTGTAAAGAAACCTGCTAATGTGGGCTGTGATAGAAGCATTGTACTGATTCCTTTCTGAAGAGCAGCTTCTTCAAAAAATATTTGCTTTTCTTCTCTCTCTCTTTTTTTTTTTTCTGATGTTTTGTTAAAGCATTGCATACAGTGGGACAATGGGATTCTCTTAAAGCTAAAATAAAGCCAGAATTCCTCATCTTTGTGAAACTGTGGTATGAGGAAATGGAATCGTACCACGCTTTGGTGGTGAATCAAGTATAATCCTTCTTGTCAAAGAAAACTTGGGGATGGAAGCACAATTCAGTGCCCTTCTCAAGCAGGAATGTTAAATTAATCACAGTTTCAGGCTTCTGGTTCTCTGACTTTATCTGCCAGAGAAAGCTGCTGGTTTATTATTCTTGTTTTGCCCTTGAACTGTGTAGACATCATGCGTGAGCTTATGAACATAATCTAGGCCGCATCAAAGTAATTATCTGGAAATGCCAGTGAATCCTGGCTTAATCCAGCTGACCCAACCCTGGAAGTACTGTCAGGGTTTTGTGCCCAAGGTCACTGCCCGTGTACCCCAGTTGCACTGGGCAGTTGCCGATTAACCCGTAATTTGATTTTGGCCGCAGCGCAGCAGTTTGAAAGCAACCGTTGCCAATCCTGATTTGCTGATTTACCTGAAAACTGTTATAAGATGTGTCAGCTCAGGTACAAATGGAACGTGGAGGCCCTTGTCATGGGGACTGAGTGCCTAGCTGGGCTTGACACCCTCTTCAGGCTAAATCATGCCTGAAGTCCCATCTTGTTACTCAGGACGCATAGAAGAAGCTACTGGTTTTAATATAATGCTAGAGAGACTTTTATGTGTGGGTGTACTTGAGTGTAGCTGTCGAGAAAAGAATAGTAGTGAGAAGAGTGTGGAAGTCATTGGCCATAAGGTGAATTAAATCATATGTTGGGGTCAGCTACGTTACCACAACTGCCTACCATGCTTTTTGGCACAAAACCAAAACTTGATCTTGGGAACACTGCAGCTGAAATCACATATCGAAGCTCTCACTTGATATGATTTAATAACTTCTGAATACTTGAAATTCCTGACGATAATTCTTCCCGTAGTGCACTGTCTGACTGGTAATCCATGATGCAATACATCTACAGGCAAATGGGCTGTACCTGGTGGTCTTTTCCTCTGAAGGCTTGCATGTCTAGTGAAGTTTTCTTCAGTCCAATCTGAGGCTTATCCCTTGCCAATCCTATGGCTGCTGCAGAGCGAGGGGTGGAAGAGGACTTATTTTGGTGATAGTTGCTTGCCTCAACTAACTAAATTGTGCTTTTCTCCTCCCCACTCCGTCTTTGCTGACCAGAGAGGACAGTGAAGCTGTGCTTCAGCTATGGTGTGAGAACTTGGATTGCCTTTTCCTTGTGCAAAGCTTTGGAGAATCCATTCTATCCAGCCTTATGGGGTGTGGGTTGGTTGGTGTAGATGCTTCCTCTTTCTCTTTCTCTCTCTCTTTTTTTTTTTTTTTTCCCAGTGCTTCCCACTGTTTCAGTCACCTTGCAGTTGAATCCATCAACTCTTTCCATTCCTAAGGTTTCTATCTTGTTCCATGCTTGCTCTTCCATCTCCTCCCTAAGCAGTGCTTTAATAAGATATTGGAATGCAATTTTTCTATGAGTTATTGGGCCAGGATAGTTTCCATTCAGCCAGTTGGTCCAGTTTGGGGAAACACTGGAAAGCACTTGAGTTTGAGGGGTTTTGTTTAACAAGATTGAGACCTTTTAATACATGTTCATCATGTTGAAAGCCAGATCTGTTCCCCCTGCTATTGGAAGCTCTCAGGCTCTCATTAGCAACACCTTATGGTGGGTTATTCTCATAGTATTCTTGATAACTCTTCCATGCAGAATTGTGGGGTGTTTTTCTTTCTTTGTTCCTTATTGCTGTTACAAGGGAATTCCTCCATTATTTTGCTGCTTCATATGAATGTGCTTTGTCTCACCTAAGAAAGAGAATGTGACACTTAAGGTTTCTACTTTCGCAGAGGAGAAAGTAGAGGATTTAAAGGAATAAAATCAATAGACTTTACTTTTTTAACATTCAGATTGTAAGAAAACTATGAAGTAGCAAAGTAATATTTGTCTGTAACTTATGCTAGGAAAGCTAAGAGGCTAGTAAGAAGCCTGGCGAGGAGAGGAGGGGGAGAGTAAGCTCACTTCTTACTGGAGTCTCTCTTGGCTATTAGCAATGACAGTAATATTGATTCCAGATGATGCAATACGGCATTAGTTTTAAAAATGAGTCCTTGTAAAGTTTAAGGACTTTATAAATGCACTGCTAGTTTTTGTGCTTCTAGTTATTAAAAAAAAAAAAAAAGGCAGATGAGTTCTTGTAGATAGTTGCATGGATTAAGTATACTCAAAATCCCAAGCTACAGTCTCCTTTTTAGAGACCTGTGGTACACATGCTTCCTGTGGATGTCAGGCCAATTACTGAAATACATACATACACATTTTGGGCTGGGTTTTTGTTTTGTTTTGTCTGTTGAAATTTCTTCATCCAAGGGAACTTCAAGTTCTACTTTTCAGATGATTTTAACATCTATTTAAGGATGTTCACTGTAGTTGTCTTTTAGAGAACACTCATTATCAAAAATACCTGCTCTATTAGTGGATTATCACTAGGACAATTTATTCTGATGGCTGTAGCTAGAAACAAGACTTACTATTAGTGAAAAATTTAGGAGTATGGGACTGAGTGAGTTAGAAAAATTTGCAATGCTGAGACACTACTTCACAGTAGTTCAATGAATTCCCTAATTCAAACTGTCAAACTGAGCAGAGAATTGTGTATTAATAGTTCTTAAACATCAGAAATAAACTTTCTGTATTCTTATTTTAAACACAAATGTGAGATAAGGATTAAGAAGCTTAGAATGTGGCCATTCCACAGATATCTCCATTATTTTTAGCTATTTGATGTATATTTACTTTTAAATTTCTGTCCTACCTTTATTTAAAAAAAAAAAAAAAGCAGAAGTGCAATGTAAGTTGTTGAGCTCTGTAAGACAATATTTGAAAGACCTAATATTTCAAATAGAAAACTGTAGAACTTTCTAAAGGAAGAACTATTAGGAAAGCAACAAGTTCTTGTGCTGCTGCAAGCAAACTCTGCCTTTAACTAGTGATTGACTTGGATGGAGGGATTTGGTTCATGGGTGAATATAATGCATCTTGAAATGTGGGTTGTGTTGTTTAGCTGGAGCTAAAGCCAGGTTTGAAAATTCAGGGCACTCTATTTATGGCTTCAGGTTTAAGTGAGATGAAAACTGATGTTTTGACTGAATTTAACCTTTGAAGCTTTTTTGGTTTGTTTGAACTAAAAATTCAGTGGCACTCTGCACAAACCCCAGGATATAAATGGAAAACAAAGATCATGCCTGTTTTTGTAAATGAAATTTCTTTATAACTTTTTTTGAACTCAGAACTTTGTGGTTGCTTTTAATTAACTTAGGAGACAGCAGATAGTGTAATGTCAATCCGCAACCTCAGCCAACACACTGAACACACAGAGCAGAGTGGGAATAAATTGAATCTATTTCCGAATGCCATTATTAATTAAAACAAATTCTATTCAAAAAAATCTATTAACACAGGTACATCTAAAAATATGTTGGTCTTGTTACAGGTATGCTTAAAGTCCTCTATGCCTTATTTTTCTTCCTTCATCTCTCTATTTGTAACATCTCAGATGTTTTCCTGTAAAGTAAAACTTTCCAGGGGGTGTGTGTGTGTGAGGGGGTAGCACTTTATCCCATTTAAATCCCATTCAGTACTCTGTTTCTTGACTTTCTAGTTCTACAGAATAGATCTAATAGGATTCTTTATAAAGAAAAATAACCAAACTATGTTGCACTTAAAATATTGCCTGCAAACTATATTCCCTATATCTAAGGCCTCAAACTAACAGTCTTTAATATTATTCTCTGCGCAACTTGTATATTAAAACAAGAAGGGGGGGAGGGATCAGAAACATTTTTCGTACTTCCTTAACAGTTCGATGTTAGATTTTGTTTGTTTGTTTGTTACGAACTATAATTCAGTATTATTTTTATCAAGTTGACAAAAATATCAGTGCTTCCTTATAAGGAAAGAAAAGTGCTGCTTTGGGTTGTGGATTTTTCCTTAGCCTTTTTGATCTAGCCTATAGATATCTTAAAAATATTGCTCTCAGAATACTGTGGACTCCCAGTTCTTGAGGGGGGAAAAAAATATGTGCTGTTCAAGGTTTATTTTAATCTGCACAGCCAGGTGTTCTCAGCCACAGACGCAATTGCCTGCATCACTTGGACAGCTGTTTTTAAACATAAAATCATGCACGTACCCCACAGAGATACAAATTTGCTCCAAATAACCAGCTAGAGTAACAAAATCATCCAGAGCTAGGTAGTTGTTCATGTCACAAAATAGTAAGTGATGGAACTTCCTCTGAAGCTACGTGTTTTGCATCTTTTGCACTGTCATTGCTTTGTACCAAAATTAGCTTGTTTTGAGATGCTTACCCTAATTTTGTCCTTGCGATTGGTCTCTGCTGACCTAAGGATTTCTTCCTGATTCTTGTCAAGATCACTGTCTGCATAGGAAAGGAAGTAAAAACTACCGCCACTTTGGGGCCCATATTTGTTTTGCTTTTGTCCATTTGGCAAACTAAAGTCTTTTTTTTTTTTTCCCTAGCTCTCCTTTCTTACCTCTGCATATATCAGGCTATGCTTAAAACAAGCTGGTTTTTGACAGTGTTTCTTCAGTGTTTGTCTCAACAATTTAGATTTTTGAGGATGCCAAGCAAAACAATTTGTTTTGGCTGTGCCTGCTAGTCTGTTTAGTAAAATACTACACATTCCCCATGAGTGAATAACATGCTTTAAAAAAGTTCCTAGGTTCTTTGTGGTCATCTTGTTTTTAGTACAGGCCTTAAGAATTGAGATCTGATTTTATACATTTTAATAAACTATTAGATACTTAGTCTGTGGTGTCTCTTTTTAGAATATATTGTTTGCCATGAATACGCAGTGATGCAGATAAAAAACAACACAAATAGTATGAGGATTTCTTGTACTATCCCTGCCTTAAGACTTAAATTAGGTGTAAAAAAAAGACTAGATAGTAAACAAAATTCATAAATACCTTACTTAGTATGGTCTTTTTCTAAGGAAAGACAGAGTGTTTCAAAGAACTTTTTAAAAAACTATCATTTGAATATAGCATGTATAGGCTCACCTTGTTTTAATCCTGAGATCAGAAGTGTAGGACTTCAAAAAACAAACAAACAAACAAAAAACAACAACAAAAAAAGAAAACAGAACCAAAAACACAACGGAGACTGGGTTTTTTTTCTGCTTGAAAATACTGCTTAGATGAAACAGATGTATTGCAAACTTCTTTATTGAATGTTCAATGACTTTTTATACCTAAAAGATGGAAGCTCTCAGGAACTGAGAGCAGTACCCAACTGAACAGCAGGTGCTTCTCCTTTTTAAACCAAATTGATTTATTTATTTTTAATTTGAATGCTTAATAGTCTTGTTTTGGTACATTCTTCCCGAAGATCAGTGGAAGGTTAGGATGCGTACATCCACAATGCTGTGGGAATAGAGAAGTGTGTGCAGCTCCCCTCCATGCCCCAAGGTGACTATCCTGTAAGGACAGAGAGAGCAACTTCTGGAGAACATGCAGGCAGGTGCCTTGGAAAGGGTGAAGCTGCTGCCGTTGGGCTGCAGTGCCGCTCATCTTGGCGCCGAAAGCAGTTTGCTCCTTTCGGACCAGACCTTGAAGTTGACATTTGGACCCATGTAAAAGAACTGAAAACACAACCACAGGAAGTGGCTTTTGCTCCACAACACAAGAATTTTCCATGAGGCATAACTTTATTTGTGTCTCTTGCTGCTGTTGAAAGACAGTCATCTTGTTGTGTTTTGTGGATTTTTAAAATTTTTTAAATTCCCTTAACAGGGTTCTGTCAGAACAAGAATTATTCCTTCTATCAATGTTTAGCCTCGGATTTTGTTTCTGACACTAGTAGTACTGGGCCCATAATGGTCCTTCATGCCCTGGGCACTTCAACCCCTCCTCTCTTGGGCTGGAGTGCGAGAGAATAATTTTGGTGAAACTAACTGCTGCTGTGATGGCCCGAGCTACTGCCATCTCTGGTGTTAGCAGTGGGACAGGATGGGCAATGGAAGGAAGACTTGAGGATAGAAAGTACCAGTATTTTATTTCTACATACAAGGTACTTAGGTCTTCCAAGATGCATAAATTCCTTTTTATCTTTTTATATAAATGATTTTTGTGCACCTCATATACTGGGGAAATACTGGCCTGTTCTACATGTTATTGTGTTTTATTAATTTGTTCTAAGCTGGGGTTTTATCAATTCTGAGGTTTTAACACATCTTAACTTCAGGGTGTTAATCTCTATTCAATAGCATTGCCAAGTGAGCTTAGAGAAATAAATCTGTATACTTCAATATAGGAAATGGTTGTCATTGTGAATAATCCTCAGCACCATTTCATAGCTTGTTAATGCAGAATTTATCTAAGGAAAAATCCCAGTGTTATCTCTAAGAAATGAGTACAGCTGTCCCCACTGAAAGGAGAAAGAAAGAAAAAAAAGAAAAAAAAAAAAAAGGGGGAGGGGGAAATCTTATCACTGGAATAAGTAAAGAACCAGTCCTGCTGGAGTAATTTCTCATATTTCAGAGGAGCATTACAATTGTAAAAACTACAGTGTGTGTGCGTGCGTGCATGTATATATCTTCATTATATCTGTTTATTTATCCTGTAATAAGATGAAGTTGTAACACATAGTCCAAGATTTTAAAATCCCTAAGTGAAGTCCACCTATTCAACTACACTATAAAGCTTTTTTGCTTAAGTCTATCGTACAACATTTAGAGCCTTCAAAAAGTATCCATACCTATTCTACTGTTCCAAAGCTGTGCCATACACTGCTGTTTTGGGTGGTGCTATATAATGCAAATATACTTCCCCTCCAACTGGCTAGTCTACAGCTAAGTCTTGCATTCACTTGCGGTTTATTTATATGTGTGTATATATATATATTCACCTGTGTATTTAAATGTACAAATATAATAATATATGTATATTTGTAGCTGGAAAGGTAGGTGTTCATAGAGAAGATAAGTCAATTTTGCTGTGGCATCTGCTCTTTGAGATCTGTTTGGTCATTGGCAAAGGTGTTGTCTGTGTACATGAAGATTAGAAGTTCAAACTATTCCTTTGTGAAAATATTTGAAATATTATTATTTTTTTTTAAATCTGAACAGAGTCAGATGGAGTTCAGTGTTGCATCTCTGTCTATACAAGAACCATGTGGTACCCAGTTGCAAAATGAACAGAAGCAGGCAGTTAAGGCAGCATCTGGTATCCAAGTTCCTAAATCTTCTCAGGCTAATAAGACCCCTGGCTCTGATGGGCTATTAGCACCCAGGAAGGAAGAGGAGTCCTCTTTCTGGAAGATAAATGCAGAGCGCTCGAAGATTGAAGGAGACAAATCTGAGTTCCAGTCATTGACTCCCAGCCAGATCAAGTCCATGGAAAAAGGAGAGAAATCCCTTCCCTCTTTCTACAGACAAGAGTCTGCTCCAAAGGAGGTGGCAAAAGCAGAGAAGCCGAGCATAACTAAAGCAGAGAAGCCTGTCACCCCCAGTCTACCTTCTGCATCTCTAGAATGGGAAAAACCTCGACCCAGTCAACAACCTTCTAGTTCTCTAGATGACTTCTTTCTTCCTGACCCACCGCAGGACCTGGCACCTGCTAGGACAACCAGTGAAGATACTGATGGTATTACACTTACAGATCCACAAATATCTGGACAGGTAAGGGCTGCTAAATCCACTATTCTTTACATTTTAAGAGCATATAGCACATGAAAGTCTTAAAAGGTTGTTCTAGAAGATTGGGGATTTCCTAAAGCATTAAGCTAAGCTTGCTGGCTTTTTACCCTGCAGATTTAGAGCTGTCTATTTAATCAACATGTTAACTCTCATTGTCTCTTTGTATCAGTATCTTTTCAGTGTGGTAATGTTTGTAGGATAAGGGCATTGTTTAAATGTAATACCAGAAACATTGATTGGGCAGGCAGTGTCTTGTTGACAGCAAGTTACCTAACAGTTTAGGGTAGAGAACTTACTGTATTAAATTAGAATTAAAAACTTTTTTTTTTCATGAAATAGCAAAACACTTTTTGCAAAGTTGAAAAGTAGACAGAGTTAGAATCTAGGATACCTCTTTGGGCGTAGTCAGCTTTCTCCCAAGCAGCTGGCTTATTTTCAAATATGCTTTCTTTTAAAGTCCAAAATGGAAATGGAATGAGCCTCCAGAATTAGCCTTCTCATTTTTTTTATAAACAGCAACAACAACAAAAAATAACCTTAAGCAACTCAATAGCCAATTGGAGCTATTTAAAATGCAGATGCTGATCTGTGAGAAAAAGAAAAGAATAGCAGGATGTGACATGGTGAGGAAAAGAAAAAGAAGAGATAATGAAGTCTAGCCTCTGAAGTAGAGTAGTAGTTCTCTAAACAAAAGTTTTGCAGTCCTATTTGGAATCTGTGTCATTGCATTCTGGCATAAGCCTGACATATTACTGTACACCTTAAGCATGTAACATAGTGGTGTAGTGATTTTTTTTTTTGTTTTGTTTTGTTTTTAATATAACTCCCTTATTTTTACATCAGTGATTTTTTTTTCTTTAATTGCAAACCACATGATATACAGTTAAAAAGATCTAGCCTGAAGTTTAAAAACTTGACAGTGATGTAAATGCCAACACTTGCGACTATTATTTAAACCATTTCAATATTTGGTGCCCTAGGCTTACTTATTTTTTGAAGCCAAGAAATTAAGCTTCTTTAACAGTATTGTGGCAAACTGTGCCTGCAGTAGTTATTTAATTTTTTGTTAAAAGTAGTGGCGTGATTACCTACAAATGAATTGTTTGTTGCAGTTTTAATTCTTGCTTGAGCGTTTTCTAGCTAACTGAAATAGTTTGAAAATTTTTTGGTGGGGGGGAAGGGGGAAGGGTTTTTTTTTTTTTTTTTTTCTTCTCTCCTCCATGCAAAAACAGGCTTCCTATATCAAAATATAAACGGAGAGCAGAGAAGGTAATATGAGAGAATTTGCCTCCTTTTCTGGGAATAGCATCCAGAGTCTCAGGCATCTCCTCTTAATGTTCAGGAAGACTATTCAGATTTCCTTGAATCTCATGGCTAAAAGTGAAGTGCTGCAGAAATAAGCATGTTTTTGATAGCCAAGTAAATAACTTATCAACAAAGTTTGAGATGTAATTTTCTGAAAACGGCTGACTGTCATTGTAACAGGTAGACTGTTTGGATTAGTGATGCTTACATTCTCTCTTTTTTTTTTCTTTCTTTATTTTTTCCCCTTCTCTGCAATTCCCACTCCAGTCAAGAAGTGTATCTTTATGAGTTATTTCAAGGGAGTAAAGAAACCTTTGCCTGCAGACCACAACAAGAATTTTATTTTTAACTGGATTTGCCTTTTTTGGTCATTATTAGTATTCTCCCATGTCTAGTATTTTTGATGCAGATGCTTAGGTGTCCTGGATCAAGGTGAAGAACTTGAAATATTGGCAGGCAACATAAAGCTGTATTTTGTAGATAGGCCATCATATGCTGTGTTTGTAATAACATGATTAACAGTCACGTCTATTTTTTTTTCTCTTGCAGAGTAATACAAGTACTGTTATCTTGAAGACTGGCTTTGATTTTCTAGACAACTGGTAAAAGATACTTCAAAATAGTTCCAACTAATTTTGGAGAAGGAGTGGAGCATTTTCTCCTTGTATGTTAATTTACTAGCATCTGTGTCTTTTTCTAGAAGTAACTTTCAAAATCTTAAATGTTGCCTTTGTAATACCAGATGCATTTTTTTTAAACAGTGATAAAAGTGTGGTCTCATTTGGATTTTTTTTAAATATATGTTAATTTTTTGTAGTTATTGTATTGAGCAGATGGAGGAAGCTAACATATATATGTTAAACAGACTTGAAATGGAACTACAGGAACAGGTTGCTATTTTCAGCTGAAATCTTGCTGGCATGGCTTGTAAGCAATAGCACACAACATGCAATGGTTCCAAATAAACAAGTAATTCTGTGCTTCAAGTAACTAGCAGAAAAAAAGGTGTGAAAAGTCGGCATACAGAAGAGTTGAAGTAATTTCTGTATTTCATTTAGTCTGAGTGTAATTTTTGTACCACTTATTTGCAAACACTTCTCTTTTGAAGAGGACAAAGGCATTGCCAAAATGACAGATCCAAAGAAGCACTGTGCTCGAACCCTACATATCTCATGAAATAGCCAGAAGGGTGGAGGAAAGTGACCTTGGGCAGGGGAAAAAAATGTGTTTCTTGTCTTTGGATTGAAGATTGAAAAGGCAGGGGAGGGAAAAAAAAGAAGGGGGAGGAGGAAAACTCTAATGGATGGGAGAAACTGTCTTCAGGGAACATAAGCCTAAAGATTTCACTGCCTCCTTGCTAGTATGTAACTTTCCATAACAGTAGTGTTGGACGTGCACTGGTGATTGCTGGAGTGTAGATACCCTTGTTTCAGGAAACCACTGTGTTCGTGGCAGGTGGTAGCAGTGCGAGGCGTCTCTGCTTTCTAAGCAGCTTATCGACTCAAGGACTCTTCAACTTTGGTGCTTTTTCTCCTGGTGGGTACATTCCCTTCAGCATTCTGCATGTGGGTTGTATGTGTTCCTGAGAGGCAGAGTAGCATCTCCGAGTGGTCTTCGTCAGGCTTGCCTCCCCTTCTGCTTTGGAATGATCTTTGCTTGGTGTTTTAAATGTAGAGAAGACTAGATGTCGTTTGAACGTGCCGTCTCGGAAATGCAGCATGATTTACACACTGACTCTCACTGTGTTTACCTCACTGGAAGCCTTAATTCTCCCTACGCACAACCAGAGAACGGTCTGCTCCAATGCCAAAGGTCTGACCTTCCCCTTTACCTCAGCAGTAGTCCCATAGCATTTGTTTGAGGTAGAAGGCAAAACCCAGGGCTCTAAATGGGTCTAATGGGTTCAAGCCAAAGCTCTGAGAAGGTCACCCTCGATTAGACCATAATTGTGCCAGGCTTCTCGTGCATTAGCATTTGGTGTATGGTTAGCTGCCAGTGGCAGTTAAATGTGCAGAGTGCGATGCTGCAGGACTTTCTTCTGCGTAATGCAAACCTGTTACAGGAAAAGTCTTGCCTCACATTGGTGTACTGCTTGCTTTGAATAAGCATTGCATGCTGACAGAGCACTAAACCTTATGTCTTGATCAAGGAAAAAAGCTATAAGCTTGCAGAAGAAGAAATTAAAAAAAAAAAAAAAAGGTTTTCTAGTAAGTGATTTCTTAAAAGGTTTCTTAGCTAAAGAGGAAAAGCCACAGAGTATAGGTCATTGTCTAGCCTTATTTATAGAATTCTGAAAGCTTCTTGACGTCCTTGCTGGGGTGTACAAACTACTGTAATTCATGGATATTGCCTCTGTATTCAGCAGTTCAGAAGATACTTCTGATATTTTTATTGGCCTAAACTTTTATTCTACTTTTTCCTAGCTGACCTTTTTAAGGATTATTGCCAGCATCCAGCATTAATACATCTTAAAGCAGCTTTAGCACAAATTCCTTAGGTGTATAATTAGTACTGACTTGCACCTTCTTTTCAAAGCTGACAAATGCTAACCTTGGGTTTTATAATTACCAATGAATCTAATTTTCTATACATTCACCTACTGAGAAGTTTTAAATCAAACCTAAAGGTGTGTGTTCTAACCTTACTTTGACATTTGTAGCTCTTAAAGCAAAATCTCCTACTGTTAAGAAGTGTTCTTTTAAATATCTGCTAAACACATTACAATTTCTTCAAGAAGAACCTGGGCTTTGTGTCTCTTGCATTGGCTAACTCTACCCGAATACACATTGGGACCAGCTGGTAGAACATGCTGCAGAACTTTCTACTTATCCTCGTAGGTTTTTCTTGTGCTTTGACAAAAGTTGATGCTCCTCCTTCTTTCATATGTTTTTATTAAACCTTCTTACAGAACAATTGTACTTGGTCACATTTTATATTAACAATGTTTTAATAAATTCACTTTAAATAGAACATGCAAGGCTTTTGTTCTGCTTTTGTTTATTGTCCCTTACCGTCCGCTTTCCTCACTACTGTTGCAGTTGTTTGTTTGCGTCTTGAAATCTCTGCCGGAGAGGCAGTCAGGATTGATCTGTTGTAGAACTATTAACTCTTTTTTTGTTGTTGTTTTTGGGTTTTTTTTTCAGATAAGGATAAAGAAAAATCAATTATCTAAACTGCCAGAGTGTAGAGTTTTTCTAACTCTATGTAAAAGTGTTCTGGCAAGTATCTTTACTGTATCATTTTGGGACAGCTTGGGACAGGTCAAGACTGAACTTTATGAAGACTGTTACCTGTTTTTACTTCACTGTAATGGACATGCTTATTTTAAAAGCAAGATGCTCTTAGAGGCTGCTAGGTAGTTTCACTTTCTGCCTTTTGTTTAATATTCTGAAAACTTTCTGCATAAGAGAATCAAAGATGCAGGTACAGGGGTAATTCTTGTATTACATGCCTACATGTTGAAATAAAAACAACCCACTTTATATTTGAGCTGAATTTCTATAAACTAAAATGTATTTTAGGAAGAATCTAGTTTGGAGAGATTTGACAGCTTTCTAAAAGTGATATTCCAAATGTAGGTAGGATTTTATCCTATATATAGTTTGCTTCAGTCTTGTTTAAGCTCTTTCTGAATTTTTAAAAAGACATCTTTCAATGCAGCCTGAAGATGTACATTTTAATATTACTTTGATATATGAACCTCTTAAAACAAAAATCTTGCAGTTGGCCTGCAGCAGGTCTGATACCTGAGTAGACATCTAAAGGCAGTGTAGGAAAGCTCATTTGGCTATCTGCCAAAGGATGCTCATCGCTTTATTGGTGACTTCCATCATGGTTCCTGAGGATGAGTCAGGAAGACAGGCAGCATAGAATTGTCTTTGAGGACACTTTTGTGGGCACTGTAGCAGCATCCAGCAGGCAGAATCATTGTTCATTGCACAGTATCCTGTAAAAAACCTAGAAGTCACATGCCTGAGACAGAACGCACATCTTTGTAGCCATTGTTCATGGACCTGCCTGTAACTTTGCTGTCCATGTTTGCCCATGCAGACAGGAATAAAAGATTTCCAGTGTTGTCCCTTTACATTACATCTCAACCCATAGAGGATCTACATCTTGACAGCACCCTCTGGAGGCAGTGACTGAGGAGGGAAGTGCTGGTAAAGTCTATCTGCAGTAACTCCCCTGTGCTGTGGAACAGCATTGAAAGGAGACATAACCGAGGCCAAAATTATTCTGTGCTAATGGAGCAGAGGAGGAAATCTCACAGTTGATTCCTTCCTATCCTTGAACAGATCTGTCCCCAAGAGTCTACTCATGTATCTCGGTATTGGAGAAACCAAGGCCTGTATAGCCTATCCAAGCAAAACAGAGATTTAATGCCTTCAAGACAAGGACAAAACAACACATTATTCCCAGTGCAGAGCAGCTTCCCCAGGACCTGGGGGAATGTCCTTTTTTTCTGTTCTCTGGCTAGTTACACAATCTGGCTGGCCGTGCTGTGAGATCAGGATGTGGCTCTGGGCACTCCACCCACGGCACTCACTGTGATTAGGGCCTTCTCTAGCCTGGGCCTAGTGAAAGCACAGCCAGGATCCAGTACCTGCGGGGAGCGAAGGGGATACTCCGAACACCACGCTACTCCAGGGTATAGGGCAACTTTTCCTGGGGGCATTGCTCCTTCCCATCCTTCTCTCTACTGTTTGAAGGTAAAATGCCAAAGGACAGGGCACGACTCATCCTGCTCCTCACTGGCAACTTCTTTTTCTTGCTAGGATAAAGTGCAAGTGTTCAGCACGTTGAGGGTACCTGCTCGCAGGGAAGCAGGGTGTCGTGGTAGACTTGCCCATTTTATCTCAGCCAGGCTTGGCAGAAGTTTTGCAGCCATGTGTCTCTGCTCACAGCGCATTACTTTTGAAGCTTTTCATGTTTCTTTAAGCAGCACTCTGAATATTTTGCAGGGTAAAAGATTTCATTAAGTAACCTCTAAATCACAGCATTTATCAGTTCTGCTGCCTAATGGCTGTGAAACTTGGACTATATTTTGAAGCAAAGACACAGGGAAAAAATATAGTTGGCAGGTCAGTATTTTACTGGGATGCCAGCAAGTTAAAAAAAAATGCAGCTGCTCCAAAAATAGCACGCTGCAATTTTTTTGGTGATGCTCATCTGTAAAAAGAATGAAGAAATGAAAAGAAAGGGGTAGGGAGGCAGAAAAGTTTTCTGGTTTTTTGGGTGGTTTCAAACAATTTCAGTAACTGATCAGAGGGCTATAGAAGGGCCTGAGCTCAGACTTAACTTCTCTTCCCACCAAAAAGTGGCAAGAGTGCCAGTGACCTGAAGTTAAGCTGTCTATTCCTCTCTTTGCTTTTCTGAAGTCATCAGTGAGGGAAACTTTTGAAAATTTCCCATTTACAGCTAGATGGAAAGTATTTTCTAGTGGTTGTTTTTGTTGCTCCAACAAGCTGACTATGTAAAGATGCTGTGAAGCAGAGGTTCCTAATGAAGATGAGAAGAAAGAAAGGTGAGAGAAAGTGGAAAAAAAGCTGGAAGTGGAGGGAGAAGGTTCACCAGGTTGGGTTCTAACATGATATTTCCCAGCTACATGAGCCGAAGTATTGGCTCCATTAATCTTGGTGGAAAATTTATTTTAACTTGTAGGAAGCCTGGACTTCATTACAGCTGTTTGTTGTTAAAGGGTTGACTGAGCAGCTTGCTATCCTTGCCACATTTTTCAGAG